AGGGAGGGAGGGAGGGAGGGGGTGGGGTTTGCTTTGTGGGAGTCACTCGAGAATCGCTAGATCTCAAGGTGGAAGTGGTGAGAGGCAGGTTCAACTCAGGCTCTGAGTGTGAAGGTACCTGTGTAGGCAAGTATCTATCCAAACCACATCACTGACATCTCTCAAGGACAAGTGAAGAAAAAGACTGTGAGACAACCTAGGATATAAAAGAACCATTAAAAGTACTGACAGTACGGAGACAGAGGTGGGGCCAGATAGCAGAGCATGGAAACATCAAGTAAGTGAAGTTTCAAGAGCGAGAGAAGTTAGGGTATCTATCACATGAAACATACTATTCGGAGAGTAAACAGCTGTTTCAGCAGGGTCTCTCCTGCTCTGACCTTCTATCCATACCCTTCCTAGAGGACGCCCCTCGTTACCAAATATGAGATATTGTTAAATCCTCTTAGCTCCCTTCCTATAGGATCTAGCAGAGGCTTGAATACATGGGTGCTCATTAAATCTTTCTGGGATAAATGAATAGAAAGCAAATTATTCTCGTGTATACTTTTCTGAAATTACTGCTATGATATTTATGAATGTGTGCCTATAAAGCTAAATGCCAAGTTGCTTGGGATTCATTTGTTCTTACACCACCAATTCAAACCAATTACAGAATGCACACTTCTTGTAAGGATTCTTTTTTTTTGGGGGGTTGTGTGTTTTTTACCTTTATTGTAAGGACAATAAAAGGGGAAAAATTTTTCACAAAATCACTTGTAATTAAGCATAACCAGATTAAAAGTTGTGTATTCTTATCCTTTATTGTCTTACAAACAAGCTCAGTCTCTATAATTTAGAGTTCTCCAGTCTTTTTTGTTGAGGGTTTGGATTTTATCTTTTTAAAATGTATCAAATTACTCCAAACGTAATGGCTTCAAGAAGAACTTCATGATATGAAGCAGAACTTAGATTCTTGAAGCAAGATGTGGCTGGGCATTTTTACAGTGGCTAAATCACAAACACAAAGTAAAAAGTGCCATTTTAAGAAAATTAAAGAATCACAGTCTGGGAATGTTCCACTGTACGGGTGGAGAAACATTAATAGAGACCTTATAAAGCATTAACTCAACAAATAAAAGAGCAGCCACTGATGACTCTTTATGCTCTCTCCTTTTACAGCCTAGTTTGTAGCAAGGTAGGCTACAATTCTTAGTGCAGATTCTATCCTGAATTCATATCCTGAATTATTACAACCCAGCTGCTGCCTGCCCTACATCCCATTCCTCTGAGCTCTTTCTCAGCCACACACTCGTGACTGGCCAGTTACGCCAGCTCCTCTCCTGCTTGATTTTTCCATGCTATTTGTCATGGTCACCCATTCCCTTCAGCTTTCCCTTGCTTTCACAGATGGCTCCTCTTCCTGCTCCCCCTGTGGGTGGGTGTGTCACAGGACTGTGTCCTGGGCGCTCTTCACTGGCTCCCTGATGACTTGTGATAACTCACACACCTCTTTCCAGGGCAGTCTTCTCATATACTGAATCCACCTTCCTCCCATTCACAGGCGAGGATGCATACAAGTCTCTGGTATACTGAAGCCTCCACCAAGCCAAAACTGAGTTTTGTCCAAGCCCAGAACATCCACCTTACTGTCTTATCTTATTGATCAAATGGCACCACCATCTATCCAAGCCAGAATAGGAGCTATCCTTTATCCTGGGGAAGAGGCCACCCCATCTCACATCCAGGAAACGGATGCGACACATCCTGTCACACTCTGTCAGTTCGGCATCACAGGTATCACTAGAGCCTGTCCCTCCTTTCCATCTCCACGGCCACTGCCCTAGTCCAGCTCCCAGCATCACGTCTCTATTATACGTTCTCCTTGTCTCTAGATTTGTTCTCTGCCCTAAATTCATTCCCTTCCCAATTTCCAGTCATCTTTCCAAGACGTAAATTCTGCCTTGACAATCCCTAGCATGAAAATCTTCCAAAAGCTCAAAGCACCAAGATGACAATCTCCAGGGGAATGAAAGGCCTCTCAGCCTAAGTCCCACGCCCCCCTTTCACCCAATTCTCATTACCCAGCAGACTCGCTCAGCACTTGCTCTGAGCTCTCTCTTCATTCCCACCCCGCCTGTCACCTCCTAGAAGAGTCATCCAACTCACCCTTTACAGAGCGCAGCTCAAGGACCATCTCCTCGGGAAATCATGGACGCTCCCGGGCTCCCTGAACCTTAAGTCCCTATTCGCCGCCGCCTTCAGTCCTCCCCAAGCTGCACCAGTCTGCGTCCCGGCCCTGTGCCTGTTTCCCACACTCTGGAGCGGGGTCTTGAGCAGGACGGCTTCACGTTCTCCATACCTCCGAAGCAGCAGCTCTACTGAAGGTCCCTGGATTCACTGACGTCACATGAACGGTGACATAAAAGTCCAGGCAAATTTTACATCAACAAGCAACGCTGCATATTACAAGCACTGGGCTGGGTTTCCCCCACTACTACATTGGAATCACAAGATGCTACTGAAGAGAAGGCATCTCAGTTTACTGAAAAATGAAATATTGTATTGAAGTCTATGAAATATGATATTATTAAAAAAGCATGATCACAAAAACTTTACGTAGTCACTATACCAACAAGACAATTTTAAAAAATCTAAATACTGCAAAATAAACCAAAACTTTCTAAGAACTCCAATTGTACTTCCACACAAACAGAATACATGCATCTTTAAAAACAATGACAACTGCAGTATTTTTGCTTTGGACAGTTCACTAAGGAACTGTGTTCTGCGTCTGACTGGTAGTTATAACACAAATGTGTATCTATTAAAATGCACAGACATGTGAAAAAATTAAATATGTAGAAAACAATTTTAAATTTTCATTATACATGATTGACCCTCCCAGGCATTAAGCCTGGAACCCACAAAAACCTAATCTTTCCTCTAACATTCTTCCTCCCTTTCGTGGGTAATGATCCAAAATCCTGAGATGACCTGCCTCCAAGCTCACCTTCTCGCCTCCATGTTCCTGCCCCACTTCGGTGATAAACAGAGCCATGCTCTCCCTCTAGCTGAATTTTTCTCAACACAGTTTTTTTTTTTGGGGGGGGGCGGGGTTGAGACAGGGTCTTACTATGTAGTTGAGACTGACCTGGAACTCACTATGTAGCCCAGGCTGGTCTCAAACTCAAGGCGACCCTCCTGCCTCAGCCTCCAGAGTGCTGGGATTACAGGTGTGCGCCACCACACCCGGCCTCAACACAATTCTTGACCTCAGTTACTGCCAGCCAGTGCAAGCCCAGCTATTCATCTTCCTCCCACTCACCACACTCCATCAACTGTATTTTTTACCCATTTTATCTGAAAAATATAAAGGGCAAGGGGTGAGAAATTTCCCTGTTCTGAATTTTTTTTTTGTTTTTTTTTGTTTTTTTTTTTAAGACAGGGTCTCACTATGTAGTTGAGACTGCTCTGGAACTCACTGTGTTGTCCAGGCTGGTCTCAAACTCACAGCGATCCTCCTGCCTCAGCCTCCCGAGTGCTGGGATTACAGGCATATGCCACCATGCCCGGCTTTCCAAATTGGTAAAAGAGTAAACCTTGCAAGAAGCTTGAAAGTGTCATTAACTTACACTTGAGCCACTGTATCCAAGAAATCCTTGAAGGCATCCTACTGCCTCCAAGCACAGTGCTCCAACAGACTAGACACAGTCCCTGCTCTCTGGAGCTGACAATCTAAGGAAAAGACAGATACCCACACCCATACCACTACAAGCATTTCATTACAAGAGAAGGTAAGAGAAAAAAACAGAGTTTTTCAAAGGTCACAGGAATTTCAGAAGAATGTGAAATAGACAGAAAGATCTTGAAGTTTCCATGAGGAAAATGGTTCTGGGCTGGGATTGGACTCAATCTGTAAGGCTGATACGCAACAGCCATGCAGACATATGGCAGTCAAAGCCTGAAATCTTAACAACCGAGTGATGACACATAAACTGTAAGTCAAGAGGAAGGATATAAAGTTACCCTGCCTAAGGAATGCACTTTTATCTGTCCCAGAATTTTTCAAGCATACATACAATGTTATGCCATGTACTTTAAACATTATAATCAGCAAAACACTACTTTAATATTTGCTATCTAAAAGTATCTGGGTAGGGGTATGGGGAAAAATGAGAACCAAGACCTATCATGTAAAGGTACAAGATCCCAATGATGAATGTAATTGTACTGTATACCTAAAAATTACCAATAAACTCAATGAGAGAAAAATAAAATTAAAATTAAAAAATGAAAGTATCTGCATGCCCATAGAGAACAAATCACATGAAATAAATTCCTTAACTTTAATAAATAACATACTAAGGCCATATCCATTGAACATCATTGAAGGTTTATCAGAGAAGCTTCATATTATTATTTTTTTTTGGTACCAGGGATCTAACTCGGGACCTTGTACTTTGCGAAGCAGGCAGCAGAACCACTGAGCTAAATCCCCAGCCCTTCATATTATTTTAATACAAAAAACATATACAATACTGAAAATTCCCACCCTAGAAAAAAGCTACATCCATCACCTTTCAGTGATCGCAACCAGACATGTTTGCTCTACTCCAACTCGGTTTTTGTGTTTTATTGGTACCAGGGATCAAACTCAGGCCCTTGCACTTGCGAGGCAGGACACGGCACCACTGACCTAAATCCCCAACCCACTTGGGTTTTACCACAGGTAATCTTTCACATGAATCAGGGTTAAAATCAGTGTTTCAGTATTTGTTTAAATCAAAAGTTAGAAGACCTCAAATATTCATTCTGCAATGCTTTTATTTATCCATGTAGATATACAAGTATCATACATTTATTTACTTTTTAGTTATTAGCTGGTTCATAAGAAAAAACTATACAAAAGTTTATATTATAAAATTGTATCCCAGGTGATTAGGGTCCCTCGTACTACAGTAGAGCCCAGTCTTCTAGTGGTAAATGTGAAGAGAATGCCTATCATTTTCTTTATCACAGGGGAATGCCTAGTACAAGTACAGTGTCCTCATTGATTCCATATAAAATAGCCCTTTTACCTCCTAGTATTTGAAGACAAAAGGCCACATCCCCAAAATGTACTTATTAAAAATTATCTCTCAATATAAAATCTATTGTTTTATATTACTTAACTGTCCTTCCTGAAATTCACCTGGATTTCCAGAGCAATTTCCTAAACTGTTCACACAGACGATCTACCTGTTCTAACATAGAATTCCTCAGCAACACACATTATAAAAGATACAGACTAATACAGTCTGCACAAACTTTAAAATAGGCACATCTGAAATAAAACTATGACTGCATTCATTATTTTTCCTCATGACTAAACTCTAAATTAAAAAAAATATATGGAGACTTGCAAATCTATGATGTGTGCATCCTGTTCTCATGACTTTTTAACTTCTCATCTGCAAAACATAAAGCAATAAATTATGAAAAGGAGGAAGATAAAAGCATAAAGCCAAGAAATGAAAATCATACCATTTTAGGACATGTAATGTGAAATATTACAAGTTATACATTTTTCTGGATAATTTAAAAATTCCTCGATTGTAAAAGTAACAGATCAATGTAGAAAACTAGGAAAATAAAACCCTATCGTTGTAACCCTGCCACTCAAAGGAACTACACTTGGTTGTTACTTCTTTCAGTATTTTGTCTACTGTATAATGTATAATTGAAATATATGGTGAGTATTTCAAGTTATAGTAAAAGACACATTGCCATTTATCTACCTCAAAATACAACCCCCTCACTTCAAACACACTTATTACATTGTTCTTGTCACTTTCTGAAGCAGTTTTGGAAGTCTTCTTTCTTGTCTTTAGTTGTACAGTCATGGTTGCCTTGATGTCCAAAATCAATTCTAAGTGTTTACCTTCCATGGTCAATTTAACACTGGCAAAGAGTCAGAAGTCACACGGTGCCTGATCCAGTGACTAAGGTGGGTGAGGACAGACCAAATTTTTATGAGCCTGTCTTTCCACCGGCACTCAGCAGCAGCATTCACTGAATTTTTTATCGTACCTCATAAAAATATGAAAGAGGACTCCAGAACTGCTCCACAAAGAATATTGTGCTCAAAGTAAGGGAGTGTGTTCTGAGGAAGATTAGCAGCAATTTGTCTTTTACTGTAATAATCTTTTGTTTACAGGCAACCCACTTTTGAGATCCCCTTCTGTCTCTTAGAAGCGATCTCTCAATAAATTCTTCTTACTCTTAAAAAAATAATAATCTGTTTAAACACTCACTGTATATTCTGATCACACCTCATACACAAGGAATTGTGTTTCAGATATATACATGCCTATGTATTTTTTGAATAACTGTGTTAGAGACTGTATTTCATCTTTATCTTTTGCTGACCTAATATATGGTATATTAACTATATGTGACATTCAAAATTCTTCTAAAACATGATTTTGACAACTTACTACATGGATGTGTCAGAATATATTTAATCATTTCCCTACTCTGGGATATTTATGTCACTTACAATTTATTAACTTAATAAATAAAAGACTGCCATAAAAACTACCTCACCACTAACAAAGGGAAAATATCTGTGAGAATAGAAAGGTCAGTCAATCCAGCACAGGAATTCAGGGCAAGGGCCTTCCCTGCAACAAACTACAAAGCTCTCTCTGTCTCAGAAGGCGATTTAAGCCCAATTCATTTTTATTCTTACATTTTAAGTATTGATATTCATCTTCTTAAACTTAAGGAAACATGATTTTTTTTTTCATAATAGTTCCAAACTTAATCATTTGGTCTTGAAATTTAAGAAAAAGATTACTTTCTTAAAAATCCAACCCCAATAACTTAAAACGGTAATATTTATGATTTTCAAAAAAAGACATTTTATTTCTTAATACTTACTCAGTATGAGAAAGCTTCATTTCTTCCCTTTGTCTTGTAGAGTAATTTAGATTTCCACCTAAAAAACAAACACAGTCTTTTCATTCTAACATCAAGAAAAATTTAACCATGCACAAACATTTGCATAGATGTATCTTTTTTAAGTACTAGAAAGGCTATGAAAGATGAGAAAAAACAGAATTCTTATGTAATAAAATCACTCAATTTTAATTATTTAAGTTTGGAATTATATATTGCTTCAAGTTTTGTTAACCAGAATATTGTACAGTAGACCCTGAAATTTACAGGGGTTATGTTCCTAGAGTACCTGCGTACTGTAAAAGACGAATTTCAGATATGGTCAGACAAATGCCTAAAAATGTCCTTTTTTACAGTTTAAACCCTACAAATGCTATGTCTCCCACACAGTTACATAATTTAATAAAATATTGTATTAATAAAGCCTTAGAAGGCACAGAGTGTTTCGGCAGGATCTCAGGAGTTTAAGAACTCTGGAGACAGCCTCACGTGGTATAGCAACCTCTTATGATGCCGGGAATGCTGGTGCACCTGCTCAAGATGATTTACAAGGCAGCAAACAGCAGCAAGGAGAACTGAATAATGCTCTCAGGCTGGCCACTTGCAAACCACCCACCAAAAAGCAATTGAGGAAGGTATTTGTGATTTCCAGGAAACTGCAGGATTTCAATGAGCAATTATTAGTTAGGTTCTAAGGAAAAATCCTCAAATGACTGAGGCCATAAACTCTGACTGGCAACTCTGGGGGGAGGGGGATATACTGCATTAACATTCAATAACAGTGAAAATTAAGAGAAATTTAATGAAAATGCCTAAAATTCAATCACCATGTATATCAACTTCTGCTAAGTTATATAATATCCTCTAACAGCAAGCAGTTAGAAAAAATAATAAAGGCAATCTCAAAATCTTAACAAAGAACAACAGATTAATGCATATACTAGTATTAGTTTTAAAAATTTGTAATTTCTAATTCTAAACAAGACATTTTAAACCTTAAAATTAAAACTGCAAGTATACATCTGCTAGCCTATTTTTTCAAAATAAAGAATCAGAACTGGGCATGATGGCCCATGACTGCAATTCCAGCACTCTGGGAGGCTGAGGCAGGAGTATCTCAAGTTGAAGCCTAGTCCAGGCAACTAAACACGACCTTATCTCAAAATAAAAAAATTAAAAAAGACTTGAGGATGTAATCCAGTGGAAAGTCCCTGGGTTCCATCCCCAGTGCTGCACTCACCAAAAACAGTTCACATTTTAAGTCTTTAAGTTATTTTTTAAATGCTGTATTTCCTTATGCTAATATACTAAGAACATCTAAAATTTTGTATTACAAACCTCAAACTGACTTGGGCAGAAAACAAAAAGTAATTTCAATAAATATGAAGTTCCAGGATACTAATTCCACATTTTGTAATCAAATGTGTTTCTTTCATTATGAATGGAAAGACACTGTTACATGATACCAGCCCTCAAAGAAGCAAACAGAGAACAACAAAACGGAGCTTAAGAGGAAAATATCAAAACTTACCCCGGGCACGATTTACCAAATAAAGTAAGACCACGGATAAAAGTGCCACTAGGATTAAAAAAAAAAACAGAGCTTTTAAAATATATATATTTCTTCTCAATTACTCCTGTTATCATAATTACAAAGTGAAGCTTAGACAAAAAGCAAACCTTTCTTAACTGGCACTCATAGATAATACTATTCACATTAGTATTTTATTTCCAAAAGCACTAGAAATAAGTTACACCCTTTTTTCCACGGGAAATGGCTGCTGCTCAGCCCAGGAACCGCAGGGTCAGAAACACAGGCTGAGACTCCTACAGGCTACAACGCAAGGGAGCCCACTGCCCACAGGCATCCCCACCTCTGTCCTTCCCGAAGTGCTGGTCGTTCCAAGCACTTTCCCAAACCGCTGCTGACGACCTGACTGAAGTTTATGACTCTATAAAATTCTAAACAGTAGTCCTGGGAGACTACGGAGAAACCAGGGAACGGCAGTACTTCCTGTCAGCTGACTACCTTTGATCATCTTTGGAATTTTTCTGGTATCAATAGTAGTGATTACATAATAACAAAAGACCAGACATAAACAGTAGTCCTCTGGGGATTTTAAATCTAAAAGTACCATGTCCACTGTACAAATGAATACCCAGACATTAAAGCATAGTTATTAGACCCTCATCACGCCACAGGCAGTAAAGATCTCCAGTGTCAGTGCTTGGCTTTTTCCCTTCCCAAGTGAGGCACACTGTTTAATTTACTTTAAGCTAATCTGGCATAAAGTTTTTGTTTGTTTGTTTCTTTCTTTCTTTGTACCAGGGATGGAACTCGGGACCTTGCCCTTGCAAGAGGCAGGCAGTGGCACCACTGAGCTAAACCCCTGGCCCACAAAAAGTATTTTTAAATGGTATAGTGTTTTGTTTGACAGAAATATATGCTAAACTATGGACTGAAATTAATCTTCATGTTGCATGTTGCACCAAAAAAAGACAAGAACATATTGAGGATATACTCCTAAGTGAAATAAATAAGTCACACATGTATAAATACCAAATAATTTTGCTGGTGTGAAAAATTATAATGGTACATAAGATCCTAATGATATAATTGACAATGTGAAATAGGAAGAAAAGGGCTGAAGGTGTAGGGGAAATGGGAAGGGTAGGGGAAAGGTAATAAGGGAAAAGAAAAAACATGAAAAAATGGAAATAAAGTGTTTGTAACTAGAGAAGGGAGGAGGGGGTGAAGGGAAGGCAGGGATAAGGGTGAAAATGAGAACCAAGACCTGTCATGTAAAGGTACAGGATCCCAGTGATGAGTGTAACTGTACTGTATCCTTAAAATGTACCAATAAACCCAATGAGAGAAAAAAAAAACCAGACAAAGACATTTCATGACCTAATGTTCTGAATTCTTAAATGACCCCCATTTAATAGCAGATGAACTGGGCCAGGGATGTAGCTCAGTGGCATCGCACCTGCCTCACAAGCGCAAGGTCCGGAACGCAATCCCCCATACCGAAAAAGGACTTATTTTCTAAACTTGATGGCTTATTTCTAAAATTAAGAAATATTAAAATGAATTCAAGGGTATTCATCATAAGCAATGATCTGCAAATACCACACTTCAAGTATACACAGTCTACTCCTTACAAATGCAGACAAAACTTGTGAAAATTATCACTGTAGTTTATTTTGAATAAACTAATGAAGCATAAAAGATAATTTTGATTGTCACAGGAGAATATATTTTCAGATAAAGCACAATTTAAAGATTCTCTACAGAAAAATACCGATTTATCTTTTACTTCGACAATTTCCTAGTACCTCCTAGTTTTAACCAAAGCACAGCTAAAAATTAAATGAGACTACAAATAAAAGCAATGAATAAGCCATAGTCACACCTACATCACACCGACCTCTACACGTGCACACTAAGGACATACTCAGGACCCTCCAAATTGTTTCACTTTAAAGAGGAAATTTTCTTAAAAGCATAAATATTCAACACAGAGCATAAGATGATCCTACGGCTGCCTTTGCAAGTACAAATCTCCTGACAAAAATGTCTGAATCTTCGGTGAGCTGACCACAAAGACACCAGCCGTAAAAGTCTGACACACAGACTAAGAATTAGGCAAATCTAAGTAATGATGCCTCAGTGACGTGTCTTGGAGAAAAGGGGAGGACAATGACAATTCGAACCTAATCGTACACATCAAGCTATGTTAAAAGAAGCTAAATGTTGCTTCATGGCATACTCACCAGAAACACAGGCAATGAAGAAAACGTCTAAAAACAAATATCCCCGAGTATCCAGTATCATGCCGGCAATAATAGAAATGACTGCTAACCCAAGATTCTGAATGGACTGCATGCTGCAATTTAAAAAGCACAAAAGCACATCATTTTCAAAAGTCCTCACATAGAAATTAACACTTCACTACACATTGAGGTGTTTTAACCAGAGATAGCTTGAGATGGGTTTTATTTCCTATCTTATGACTATTTCTGCTCCTAGACTGTCTGCTCGAAGGTAAGGGAGCTTGCCTTCTATGTGAAATCAGCACTCAGTGCCTAATCCTGCTGAATGAAAGAAAGACTGTGGATATCACCCTCAGGTGCAGCTGCCTTTCTGAGTCAGGGAGGGACTCAATCTCTCACCAGGAAGTCCTCAGACACATGGGTAGGGAACAGTAACATCAGTAATTACCTTAGAGATTAGCCTATTCTAGCTCTCTCAGGGAGGCCTAGAGCTTGTATTGTCACAGGAGTACCCTGAAGAGATTAACTAACTTTTCAAGACATCGCCAGGTTCGTAGCTGTCCCAGAAACCTGAAGATAGATAGCTAGATTCAGGAGACTGGAAAATATTTATGATCCATCACATAAATACTATACTTACAAGCCATATGCAGTTCCCAGTTGATGCTCAGGAACTAAAAATGCCACCATTGGCCACAAGGCACAGGCAAGCAATGAATAGGAAAGTCCCAGGAGACACTACAGACAGCAAGCCAGAAAGGTAAAAGTTTTATATAAGCCAAAACATGATTTTAATCACTAATCGATGCAGATTAATAAAATGAACATAATTAACTAAAATATAAAAATGTAAACAAATTTTATTGTGACTAGATTGAAACTCATATTCAAAATGTACCAAAAAAAAGTCTTGGCCTCTCTATCAGGACTACCGTTCTCGGTAGGGGAAAGGTAATAAGGGAAAAGAAAAAAAACGTGAGAAAATGAAAAGATGGAAATAAAGTATTTCTAAATGGGAAGGGGAGGAGAGGGTGAAGGGAGGGCAGGGACAAGGGGAAAAATGAGAACCAAGACCTGTCATGTAAAGGTACAAGATCCCAATAATGAATGCAACTACACTGTTTATCTAAAATGTACCAATAAACCCAATTAAAAAAAAAAAAGACTACCCCTCTCAAGACAAGGTGCACACTGTCTTAACCACTTTTATCTGTCATCATATATCATATCACATGCATATACAACAATTGAGGCCCTGAACGCAAAGACCAAAGAAGAAAAAGTTCATTTGCAAAAAGTTCTTATGAATGTTTTGAGAAAGCCAGTTTTCCATCATTATTGTTTGGGGGGTGGTACTGGGAATCAAACTCAGGCCCTTGCACTTGCAAAGCAGGCTGCGGAACCACTGAGTCAAATCCCCAGCCCTTCCATTATTTATTAAGGATAATAAATTAAACAATCAAGGAAACATGCCAGTAGTCTATTCTCTTGCTTCTGGGTCATCAACTCAACTGAAAAGCAGGACAGAGAACCCACTACCACCACTACTGGTTGTCAACAACATCTAACAGCGGCATTTTTTCATTTAAAAAAAACACTTTGGGGCCAGGGATTTAGCTCAGTGGTTCAGTGGCCTGCCTCACAAGTGCAAGGACCCGAGTTCGATTTCTGGTACCAAAAAAAAAAACACTTTGATAATTTAATTCTGAGTAAGAAGCACTGATAGCTATCAGATGAGCAAATATTAAAAGAATTTCTGTGCCCAACACTGACAAAGAAAACAGACACATTTGTGTGTTACTGGTGAAGGTAGTAGGAAGTTACTGGAGAAACTTCATGATGTTAACTACACTAAGCCTGTGCTGCAGCACCTCTACTCCAGAACCTGGACTGTCCCTCGAAGAAGAATTCTCCAGAAAGTCTCACCAAGTGCATAAACAGTTATGGTCAAGATGTTCTTTTATTAATAGCAAAGATGCAGCACTTCAGCTTATGGTCTTAAAAATGACATTCTGAAGAATAAGAAGAAGACTTGGTGAATTTATTATCAATTCTTTTACCTACTCTGACTCAAAGACAAGCAAATGGATATTGGGCCAATCGATTTTCTGCAACTTTCAATGGAAGGAATTTTCAATGAACTTCAGAAAAATAAGAAGAATTGGCATCCTGGCTTTCATAAGGCTATTTTATTTCAAATTCTACTTCAGCACTGAGGTTACCCTAAAGTAAGACCAATGAAATTCAAGAAATTTTATGGATTAATAATTCATAGTAATTTTTTGCTGAAATTGAAATGAAGTCACTGTTTCCCCGCTGTCAAAGCACTGCCATCTGAATTTAATGACCACGCCTCCTGACAATGGACTTGACAGAGTCCTTGCTGAAGCCCTGACCCCTCGGGTGTCACGACAGACATTACCATTGCAATCCAAGGGTTCCACATTGTGAAGGCCAGCATCATGTGGGACACGAGAGTGGTGGTTACTGCACACAGAACCCAGATGATGTTCTTCCCCGTTTTGTCCACCAAGAGCCCAAATATTGGGGACATAGGAGCTGATATGACATACACAACACTGCCCAGAAAATATGCATGAGAGTTACTGAAATGCAAGGCAGCTAGAAATAAATATCAAGCAAGTTCCTGAAAACATTAAGCAAAGCAAGCCCTAACTTAAACATTCTTCTAAATGATAATCAGGAAATAAAATAAAAAGTAGTTGGTTTCACCCTGAACACTGGGCTCACACACATCTGTCTTTCTGCCTCTTACAACATTTGTTTATAAAGACTCATGATTCAAACTGCAATAAGAACTTGCAGAATTAAAGAAATACCTGTTAATTAAACTTGCTGCCTGGGGGGAAAATCCAAATTTCTCTATAAAGAAAATTCTAAAAGTAAAAAGAAAAGTGAATACATTAGAAAAAATACTGTTTTTAGAAAATAAATGCCAACTAAAAATGAATAAAAGTAACCTGAGTTAAATAAACTTTTCTTTTTTGATACTGTTTTCCCACCTTATTTGGTATTCAAGCAGTCTACTAAAGTATAATTTATATAAATATTTCACTGACTCAAACATGATGCTGATTCCTCCCTTTTACATAGAAACAGTACCCACAATTTTTCAGAAAACCAAATTTAATCGCTTCTCGGCCTTTTGGCTAAGATCAAGTGTAGAAAACCAAATTTACTACTGCATGGAATTAAGACTGCTTTTTTGGTGAAAGCAGTACCAGAAAGGCTCTTTGCTAAATAATAAACACAATTCTCGTCTCAAATTACAAAAAATGACACCATAAATTTAAAGATTATACACTTACATCCCCACAAATGCACTTGCACTCACATACTACTATTTAAGCCACTGCTAAAGAAAACAGAGAGAGAAGTAGAAGAAAAAGCAAAGAATTTGCATTGAACCCTGAACTTAAGTGTGGCAGAATTGCAGTTCCAGTTTTCAAAGGGAGATGCAACTAGTCACAGTGCGCCAACATGTGGTTTCCATTTGCAGTAAGAAGCCTCCTCACCAAAGAATACAGAGGAAATAAAAAGAATACTAGTCCAGAATCAAAAACTCTTATGAATTATTTCTTCAAAAAATAAAAGTATCAAAGCAATAGTAAAACTTAGGCTAAAAAAATCCATGTATTCCATAATATAAAATAATTCCTATGTAAATATAAACTATAACCAGACAAGAAAGATGCACTGCTTTAAAAAAAAAAAAAAAAAACTGTCAAGGGCTGGGGATTTAGCTCATTGGTTCCAGAGCCTGCCTCGTAAGCACAAGGACCCAAATTCGATCCCTGGTACCAAAAAAACCCAAAACTGTCATTTATGTGATTGAGCTCTCATTGTCATTTAGTCAAGAAAGTGGAATGCTAGAAAATACTTACTTCCCAAGTCCAATGAAAGGGAACACCACAACGTAATAGCCAACACAGATGATAAATATCAGCCAGAGGGGTAAGGGGAAGTCCTTTATATCCGTTAATTTAATGACTTCACCTTAGAGAAGAAAAGGAAGACACTATCAGCATAATTTCACATGCGTAAGGAGCTTCACCTATACTCAAGATTTTCTTTTCTTTTTTTGGTACCGGTGATCAAACTCAGGTCCTTGTGTTTGCAAGGCAGGCGGCAGAACCACTGAGCTAAATCCCCCACCCAAGATTTTCTTAATCATGTGATTAGCCAATCCTATTCAGTTTTACAAGTACTACTCTATAGCACTACATACATAGCATCTCTGGGATAAATTAAAGACACGTCTAAGAAAAATCAGAAGCTAAGTGGGACTGAACATCCCACTCCCTTTGGCAAACCATAATTATTTTGCAAATATAAAAAGTACAAGAGCATATAAATTCTGTCAAAAAGTTTACAGGGAAAAATGTACCCATACACTTAAAACAAGTGGAAATAAATGTGAAAATGTATTTAGCCCCACCATGTTTACAAAACCGCATTAGGAGTTTACTATAAATTATCTTTAAAAGGCCATAATTCCTCAAAATCCCACTCCTCTTTCATTTAGACTTACCCGTTTTTCCTTGTTCTTTATGAAGAATTTTCTCTGCTCTCTGATCCAAGTAAGCAAGAGCCAAGGCACAGATTAGTGAAAGAATACAGGTTATGCCCCCTAAACAAAAAAGAAGATTTTAAAAAACAAAACCAGACTAGAGGTTCCTGAAAGCATATTATAGCAACATCAGAAACACAGCAACTGAAAGGAAGGCACCCTAAAGATGTGAGCAAGGAAATCCGGCAGTTACCAACCGAGACAGAGAAGAGTAAGAGCACAGGGCAAATTCTCAATAAACAGCTCCTATTATTGCACTGTTTCCCAGTACAAAGTTGTAGATGAAAAGGACTACAACCAACTACTTTTGTAAAGCACAACAGAGTAGGGAAACCTGATGACTCACTCATTAGGAAATCAGTTTTCATTCGATGGATGCCAGGAAAAAATTTAAACACAGTCTGATGCTGCAGCCACCCTATCGCCCTTCTTGAGTCTGTAATCTATGCTCTACAGCCCCAAGGCCCCACCCTCCCAAAGCACAGCTCTCCCCAGCTCTCCTCCTTATGAGGTCAGCATCTCTCACCAATGTGCATCTCAGCCCATCAAAGCCATCAAAATAGTGAATAAAGTTCACACTTCTCGAGAAGAAACCTAGAAAACTTAATAAAATATACAAATTGCTCTATCTTTAATTGGCTAACATATTATGGTCCAGTGGAACTGAAGTCAGAACATATTGGTTCGACTGCTGAAACAATCAAGCTCAATGATCTTGGACACAGAGCATAACCTCTCCAGGGTTCAATCCTCCTGTGTAAAATGGCAGGCTTTGACTTGTGGTAGGGCGAGGGTCTTTTCCGGCTCTACAAATCTTTAAATTCTAAAATTCTCCTCTGTGAGAGAACTTAGATGGAATTCTGAAGGGTATTTGAAAATAAAGTTTTAATGAAGGCAGTGGAATTGAGAAGGAGGGTTTGGAAAAGGGACTTGGGATATTTTTGCCTGTTGGACCGATCACCTCTCCGCTGTCCTCTCTCTAGCTGGCAGCATATGCCAAAAAATTGTGAGAGATCCATCTCTGCAGGTCCCAAGTAAGAAGCCACACACACATTACAGAGCTTGGGTAGACAAATCCACTGCCGCAGAAAGGCATGAGAGCTAAATCCAGAGAACTTCACATGCTACTCAATGACCACCCAGCCAGTACCACCGAGCTTTGCTGTAGAGAACTTAGGGACATGAGGGATTTACACAACATGGTTCAAAGGCCCAAAATTTTCCAGAAAAGAAAACTGAGACACAGGTTCTTGTCCAAGGTGACAGAACTGGTTTGAGGCAGCACTAGAACCCAAGGTTCCTGACTCCCAAATCAGGCGATTTTCAACCATCTTATGTCACATCTGACTTCCACGCAATCTGAGCTCACTACGAACTGACTTGGTTGGAGGAAACAAAGAGGGGAAAAAGTTCTTCCTGCTGCAATAGACTATTAAAACCTTACAGGAATAAATTCCTGCTTGCTCTGAGTTTTACACACTTTACTTCATCGACTGTGTAAGACACAGATGATAACACTGAAGTGACAAGGAGGAACAGTATCCTCCATTTTAACAAAGTGGAAGTTAAAATACCAACAAATACATGAATAATCATTTCTCGATAAAAGGCCCAGTAGTGGGGCAAAACCATAACCACAGTGCTCTGACACCGACTCCTGGGTTCTCTCCTCTCTGCCCACATTATCTCCAAGACAATATTTCAGAAGAGACAAGATCTGGGACATGAGGTTTCACTCACCAATCAACAGTGTAGCCCCAAGGGTTGTGGGACCAGCAGAGCCCAAAGAAGCTTCAATCTTAGAATACAGCCACCCCATGAGGTTCATGTTTACTGTACTTCCCTAGTAACAAAAAAAATCAACAATTTTCAATTATTCATAGCTCTGCCTTGTTAAAAAAAATGGTTTATGATACCTTAGAGAAATAAGTGTAATTAGGATCCAGACTACACAGGGGGTAATTTTTTTTTAAAGTATATGGAAAAATCTGACATACTAAGAAAAAGCCATACATAAGATTAATATAACAAAAAATGCCAACTAAATAGAAAACGCTATCCAAAAAACAAACCAACCAAAGCAAAAATGAAACACAAGTTATAAAATTCAGAATTCCTAAGACATATAAAAATATACCAGTAGTTTAGAAAAAGCACAGCTTTTCCTGGTACTAAGGTCTGAATTAATGAAAACAATCTTCCTTTGAATATCTTTACACAAACAGTGAAAAGCACAGTGGATAAAACCCTCATACACTCAGCAATTGTTGTACCACTTGCCAGTCACAATGGCAGGTGTTGAGAATGTAATAAAAAACAGAAGTGAAAAAACACCTAAGTTTCGTAAAGCTTTCCATATTTTAATAAAACAAATAGGCAACACATTAAATAGTGACAAAATGCTTCCAAAAATAAGGAAAAACATAAAGCAAGGTAGAAGAATATAAAACTGGGCAAGAAGGCCTCACTGAGAACGCGAATTCGGAGTAAAACTCAGAGGAAGAGAGCTGGAAGGGTGCCTGAGGATGAGAGGCCGGCAGGAGAGCAGCCCACACACAGGCGGAGGAGGGCAGAGACTCGGATTGGTACATGAAGAGCGGCAAAGAGATGAGGTCCCCAGAGACCGGTCGGGAGAAGAGCTGTGGGGAACAATAAGGACTTCAGCCTTTGCTTCTGTGTGAGGATTTGGGAAGAGTGGCACGGCCCAACCACACTTTGACAGGCTTGGTACAGCTTCTGTATTCAACAGGGACCAAACACAGGGGCAGAGGAGAAGCAAGGGCACCATCAGGGCTCTGCAGCAAGAACCCAGCAGAGAGACGACGGGTCTGGTAGACCCGGGGAGTCAGCAGCAGACATGGTTAAATATGGTCAGGTATGGGCATATTCTAACAGTACAGCTAACAGGACCTGTTAGTGGAAGATACATGTGTGGGATGGGGAAGAAAGTGGAGCTCGGGACCACACCAAGGTCTTTGCCTGAACAATGGCAAGAAAAAAAAGCTATCATTAACCGAGGATAAGAAAACTACAGCAGACTCTGGCTTAGGGACACTGAGAAGAATATGCAGAGCCGGATGGGAGATATGTTTGGCTTTCTATGCCTATGAGTCAGACAAGTAGAAATGTCATGTAGGTGGCTGCCTATATGGGTGTGGAATGAAGGGAAAGGCCCAGACAAGTGACACAGATTCAGGAGCAAGGCAATGTTCTTTAAACTTCAAAACCAGACAAGATCACCAAAGCAGTGAGTACACAAAGAAAAAATGATATCCAGAGACCATGTCTTGGGGCATGATCCTTTACTTACAGGTTGAGAAGAGTGAGTTGCAGTCACCAAGAGGTAGAGAAGAGGTGGAGAGAAAGGTCAGAAGAAGACTGTAAGACTCCGTCCTGAAACTCAAGAAACCAAGCAAGAGGAAGTGCGAGGTGTATTCAATGCTGATACTGTTTGCTGCTAGGAAGACTGATACATAATCCCAACCTTAACAATATTCTCACAGCCACGGATATTTTTTTACAAAATGGTAGCAAATGACATTACTCTTCTAAGAAATAAGGTAAATAAAGACCTGCTGGAAACTTTCTTTGCTATCACCAAAAATATAAGCTCCTCAAAAGCAGTGATGCTGCCTTAATAATCTTTTAAATCTCGGCCGGGGATTTAGCTCAGTGGTTCCACCGCCTGCCTCGCAAGCACAAGGACCCAAGTTCAATCCCCAGTACCAAAATAATAATAATAATAATAATCTTTTAAATCTTACATATCTAACATGACCTGGCTTAGCAAGTACTCTGTTAGTACTTGCTTATGAAAATAATAAGTTTAAAATTAACAAACTGTGAAAGAAAATCAAAAGCATACTAGACCTCCAACCCCAAGTAAGACATGAATAAAAAGAAAAGTGAGAAGTGCACTGTCCAATGGTGGTGTTATAATAACAGTTCAAGCGTCTCAACTCAAACAAGCTCACAGCTCAGGCAACAGAAAAACCAAGGGAAGATAAATCCCAAGCACCTCTGTGATCATTCTACTGGTGCTCAGGAAACAAGAGAAACACATAAGGATGGAGGATCAACAAGCAAGTATTTCTCAAGTACTTAGGAAATATTTGCTAAGCCGGCTTCTGTAACAGAATGGCTCTCAAACTTTTAGATCACATAACTCTTTCATTTCATGTCATCTTACCCAGACCCTGAACACACCACATCTAAAGGTGCCCTGGCTGAAGCAGAGGGAGTGCATGAGATCAGCTCGCTCCCCTTCCTCAAGTCTCCGGGCCACCTCCACAGCTCTCAACCTCCATCCAGAACCCTCAACAATTCCCTTCTAGAAAGTTAGAGCTCCTCAGAATGCAGCTCATTAAGAACTTGACGAGCACTAGTAATCACAATGGAGTAACTGAGCATGAGGCTGGATCAGCTAATCTTATTTTCTTCTTTCAGAAGTCATCAGTCAACTAAATCCACAAACTCCACAAAAACCTGACTTGCGTAAGACACACAAGGAAGCATCTCAGAATATCTTTGTAGAGAGCCAGGAATTTAGCTCAGTGGTTCCGCCACCTGCCTCACAAGTGCAAGGACCCAAGTTCGATCCCCAGTGGCCCCCGCAAAAAGGGATGGGGATTTAGCTCAGGAGGCTGAGGCAGGAGGATCGCTGTGAATTCAAGAGCAGCCTGGGATACATAGTGAGTTCCAGGTCAGTCTCAACTACATAGTGAGACTCTATACTAGTTCAAAGAATTACAAATTAAAATACCTTTTACATGTTTCCTTTTAAATTGATAAAATGACTTTTTAAAAAAGTAGTAACAGCTGTAGTACCAAAGCTACAATAAAAAAGATGCTTTCGTAAACCATGAATAGGGCTGGGAATATGTTTCAACAGCCCTCAGAAACTCTAACAAGCCCTCTGGCCCAATAATAATCAGAGATATGGGTAAGTTTTACAGCAACAATGTCAAACTATACCACTATTGAAAAGTTAACACCTACATGTACAAACCATAGAAATACTCACCTGTGAAATGCTACGTTAAGAAATTTTTAGGGTCCAGGGATTTAGCTCATTGGTTCCACTGCCTGCTTTGTGAGCATGAGGACCTGAATTCAATCCCCAGTACCAAAAAAAATTTTTTTTATACTGGATTTGTTTTTCCCTAGGAGTATGTTATGTTTTCATGCCATTATTAGTCTTGAAAAGCTTGATTTTTTTTTAAAGGCAAAGGTTATTTGTTTTAGTTCTCTTTTATAGGACTTTATGCAGAAAAGACCAAAAGGGACAGGCAAAATACCTTACAGGATGCATTCATGAAAATGTAATGTTGTCCCCTGGGTATCCTCTAGAAGCCAAACCTAAAACCCGTGGACATCTCTGGTCTCCAAACACCAGGAGCACTGGCTAACTGAGGTAAGTCCGGAAGGGCATGAGCACCACGGTAAGGGAGCCAGAGTGCATGCTATATGTCTTAGACAGCCACAGGCAATGAACTTCCGATCAAGAGCTAAAGAACTGTCATCAAACAAGCAGTGTGCTACTGTTGCAGAGGAGAGGAAGCAAAAGTTAAATACAAGAGGCAAAGAGGGGGAACGATCAGCAAATGTACTTGTGAAGGAGGTTGCACCTCTACATCAGATTGAAGTACACGGCTGCCTCATCAGAGTGAGCGTCTCGTCACGGGAAATGTTCAAGCAGAACATAGATGGCCACGGGAGGGGGCTTCATAGCAAGCACACCAAGAACAGGTAGGAAACTGACAACCCAAGCTCAGATTCTTTGAACTGATACATTTTAACTCTGCTATTCTACACTACTTACTAAAATAAGGAAACACCTTACTTAAAATTAAGTAGACAATACATTCCATAGAAATATATAAGAATCACATAAGCAATTTATCATGTCTAAGTGTGCCCAAGGTAAGAGACTACACAGTTCTACCTGTGGCTCCCTATTTGGCCCCAGTAGCCTCGTCACCATACTTACAATTCTAGCCATGCTGAGCTGGAGTCCAAACACCAGGTTTAATTCTTTGCCTTTAAACCAACTCACAGCATATGTATTCTGGGCAACTGCTAAGGACTCTCCACCAATTCTAAAAATAGTAAAAGGAAGAAAGCTTTTAAAGAAATACCAATTAGTTAGCAATTATTTTTGGAGGGGTACCAGGGATCGAACTCGGGATCTTGTGCTTGCAAGGGAGGCAGCGGAACCACTGAGCCAAACCCCCTGCCCAGCAATTTTTGACACTCCCCCTACCAAGAGGTATGGATGCTCTGTGAATCGAGGAGTTTGTGCTGCTCCAACTAGCAGAAGCATATACAATTGTCTTATGGTGGAAGTGACACTGTGTGGTCCCAACATTGGTGCTCTAGTCAGCAGGGCTAGTCTTCCAAGTATCCCAGTGCAAGTGCCGAACGTCTAGGTCAACCAACTTCCAGCTGATTCCAGACCCCAGCCTTCCATGAATTTTCCCTGCTGTGCCCCCAGACATCAGGGCACAGACCAGCCGTCCATACTGACCACATACAAATTTCTGACCCACAAAGCTCACAGGCATAATGAAATGACTGTTTTACATTGAAAAGTATTAAGGGTAATTTTATATACTGCTATAACCTCAGTAGGCAATAAAAGGAGTCTGGATTATTTTACTACCATTCAGCCTATACAAAACATTGATGAGTGGGGAGTCCACACTCTGTAAAATCATAAAAATTCACACTTCTGAGGCCAATACCCAAAGCTTTCCATCACTCAACCCTAAATTCACTTTCCACATTTAACATTTTGCTACCTCCCAGGTTTTACTTTTCCTCAGATAAGCTTCCACTTGGGGCCTGTATGTAGTTAGGAGCTTAATCTTCTCCACATATCCTAAAAATTAGATGTCTTCACCACTCCGTCCTAGTTCAAAATTATTTTCCTTCTCAATTAATCCAAATCCCACTTCATCCATGAGGTCATTTCTAACCACACTTCAGTCTCTGATCCCTTTCATGCTTTGATATGCATTTTGCTTCCTTCTTCCTTACTTGGGAGCACTTCATTGTGTGTGTGTCTATATGACTACCGTGCTTGTGAAAAAATTAAACAACTTATTCATGCATGACAGGCAAGTGCTCTACCACCAAGCTACATTCCTTGCCCTTTTGGACTTTAATTGGAGACAGAGTCCAGCTAAATTGCCCAAGGCCATCTTTGAACTGTGACCCTCCTGCCTCAGCCTCTTACATAGCTGGGATTACAGGTATGAGGCATCATGCCTGGTAAGGAATATTTTTAAATTAAGGATAAAAGAAGTTTCTGTCAGGAATCTCCCTCAGGGAAGAAAGCCTAAGGCTGGACTTCAAACAGAGAGGTCAGCATATAGAATCTGTGCTCCTTTCCTTCAACTCTTCATCAGAGAGCAAAAGTGATCACCTATGAGAAAGACAATGAATGGCTTCTTTTGTTTTGTTTTGTTTTTGGTACCGGGGATTGAACTCGGGTCCTTGCGCTTGCAAGGCAGGCCACCGAACTGCTGAGCTAAATCCCCAGCCCAATTAATGGTTTTTAAAAATCCTTAATAAGGAGCTGGGCAGGGTAGCTCAATGGTAGATCATAGGTTTAGAATGTGTGATGCCCTGGGTTCAATATCCAATATCAAATATAGATATAGAGATAGAGATAAATCCTTAATAAACATATTAAAATAAATGGAATTATGCATAACTTACCCAAAAACAAACCTTCCCAATTCCATCAGCCAAAAAGCATTAAATATTCCACCCAGAGCAAAAATAACCTATAACAGAATTAATATTGAATCAATGAAAGGACTCAAAGTATTGAAAAAAAAACCAGTAACTTAAGATAAAGCATAAAGTCTACAATAGTTTTACTATTCCTCTGAAACCCATGAAATTAAAATGATAATGTACATATATGTCAAGGTGTAAAATATGCTATATTAGCCCTCAAGGGCATTTATGGATACTGGCTAAGCTAGGCATTCACTAAATACACCTTCTGTGGAAATGCTTAGACAAGAATGCAAAAGTCACTGGCAAATAATTGATGTTTTGGTCTTTCTTACCTGACCAATGCAAACAAAGCAGATAAAAATAATTGTGCCCCATCTGTTTAAGAGAGAAAGAGTCCTTTATTAATAATTCATTTTGGTTTTCTTTGCCCACTTCATTCTCTCCAAGGAAAGAAAATAATTAAGTGCTCATATGCCTCTGAAATCAGCGCCTTTACTAGGCTAAACTGTAATTTACAGAAGTCCAGACTTATAAGGGAATTCCAGAGGCTTCGATAATAGTGCATACTGTCTTAAGCCATTATCACCTCTTAAACTTATTAAATAATCTTCAAGAAGTTCCTAGGTCAGAACTATTTAAAAGTGAAAATTATTTATAAAATTTCTATTAATTTAAGGGGCCAGGGATTTAGCTCAGTGGTGCTGCCACCTGCCTTATAAGTGCAAGATCCCGAGTTCAATCCACGGTACCAAAAAAAAAAGATTTTAGGATTTATTCCAAGAAATTCCTACAGTAAGTAATTTTAAAAGATTATAATTCTTACAACTAAAAACTACTTTTAAAAGGACAAATAATAACTACGTTAATATAAAGTCCAACATTATAGTCTGAATATCAATTAACACCCCCTCAGAATAATGAAGTGGCAGTGTTACAAGAGTCCTTAAAGGTCAACTGAGTAAACTCTTTCTGAAACTTAAATCCCTTTCAAAATCCTTGTGAAATGGCCACACCATGCTCTACAGAATGTTCTCTAGCACTAGAAAATTCACTACAGTACAAGACAATCGAGGCCAAATAAAATATATTTAACTCTTCTTTCATACTCTAAGTCTGAAAAGTTTTGAAAATTAGTCTCCAAGTCTAAACACTGAAGAGTTACCTCAACTCTTATCCGTTAGACACAGTTTGAATACACTTTACCAATACTATATTCCCAGCTGATTGCTAAGTCTTTGCTAACAACTTACAAATAAGGATGAAGGGACAAAGCCTTCTACTGTAGTATTATTCCTCCCTCAGCATCTAATACAAGTGGTCAGAAAATCTTCAAAGGATGAAGAAAGGCAGAAACAAAATCTTACTGGGGCTGGGGGAAATACATACTACTTATATACCAAATATTGTACATACATCTTCCACTTAATCCTCGTAACAATCTTGCAAGCTAGGAATTATTATCCACTTTAATATTGAGAAAACAGAATCATAGGAAGTTATAAATAGCTTAGAACAGATAAGTAGTTGAGTAAGTGGCAGCAAGGAGATTCAGAACCCGGTTTGTCCGATCAAATGTGAAGCATACTTTACCCCTCCAGGTAACCAAGTTACTTTGCTCCATTAACAGCATCACTAGTCTGATCTTAACTGATATACCAACCAACTTTCAAAAACCAATTCTACAGTTTTAATATCAAAGTCTACACAATTCTTCCTAGATATACTTTATCCCGATATTTTTCTAACAACCAGGTGAGATTTACCCATAGGTCAGATTTTTTTTTTCATGCTTACCGTATTCCAAAGACTCGGTCTATCAAAAATCCACCCAAGAAACACAAAACTACATTGGGCCACGAATACCAGGCATACAGCAGCATGAATTTTGTGGTATTCACCTGCATATCCTACATAGAAAGAAAACAGAATTATCCTTCCAAAGAGGTTTACCAACTAACGAATCAAAATATGACAATCTAAAATAGGTGGTTATATTTTCCTTCTGTTGCAAGGCATTTTTTAATTATCTGTTAGTTACTTCCTTGAGAATCTCAAACTACAGCACCCCTGCCCCAGAAAAATGGTCACCTGGAAGCTTCTTGCACACACATGCCATTCTACAGGCTTTGTAGATTCCAGGATCGGACATCCTGGTAGGGGCACTGGACCTTCTGGGTCTTCTATATTCTTACTCTCTAATTCCTCCCTGCATTGGGGATTCCTCTCACATAGAAAAGGATAATCTTAGCCTATCCCTATCTAATTTACCTTCTCTATCTGCCAAGTTTTACTTGGAATGAAAGAGTAATCTATGCATTTTCCCCTGCTCCATGGTAAAAAAAACTTACAAAGAAAAAAAGACACTCTATAACCAAGAAACTATAATTAACAAATGTATTTCTACAATTCAAAACTAGACTAAGAATACTGTGATGAACAGTATCAGCAACTCCTGTCCACATTTTTAAAAAATAACATCCTATTCCAAAGCAAAAGGCTATCCCATAAAATCATTTCATATAGTTAAGAACAGACAAAATAAAATTTAAGCAAAAACTAGTATTTTGACAATAACATAGAAATAGCACATAATTATCTTAGGTATAAAAAAATTTCAAGTCACATATGTGCTATAATAAATGAATGTTTTGTGGCAACTCAATATAATTTGTGAAGAATCCTTTCAGCCACCTGATTTGGTATCTAAGGATGTTAAAATAGATCCATTGTACATTTCAGACTAAGTAACTTGAAAGTTGTGTCTCAGCAGTTACAAGTGCTTCAAAGCAAACAAAAGACACAATGGTAAAAGAGGAACTTACCCGCTGAATCTGAGTCTGAAGGGCAGCAGGATTATCATAGCAAAAATAGCTACCTAGAAAAAAAGAGAGTAATTATTCTGCAAGTAATGATGGTCTTAGTATAAAATTTTCAAGTTACAATTACTACTCAAGTGATTTTTTTAAGGGGGTGGGTTTTTGAGACAGAGTTCAGGCCTTGAACTCACTTTGTAGCCCGGGCTGCTCTAGAACTCAGCGGCAATCCTCCTGCCTCAGCCTCCTGCCAACATACCTGGCCCTCAAAGATTTTAATGTTTATACTTAAGGCTCAAGGACTGACACTATGGATGTTTCTGGACCACTTCTGTATCTACCAGTATTTTTTAAATTGTAGCCAAGTAACTCCTACAATTTTGCAATGTGCATACACCACATGCTGAGGGCCTATACTATCAAGTCAGTAATTATTTTCATATTTCACATGTTCATTATTTTAACACCTAGTAAAACAGCTACATTTTCCTGTTTAAAGCTACAAACACTAAACATTTTTACAAACACCCTCAGCAATTTCCTGATGTTGGTCACTACTCATCTCGAGAGCAAAATAAAATTCAGCTCTTCTTCTCACTGGAGCAGTGAGGGAGGGAGACTCAGCTGGATGTTTTCTACAGATGCCTGTGTCAGTGACAAGACTGCTCCCTGACAATGGCCCACTGCAGCTCCCAGAAGTGAGTGTCCTAGTGATGAGTGCAGTTTTCACACGGAGAGGCAGGGCCTTCATAATGTAAATCTAGAGATTTTTCAGTCTGTCTTTTGCACTAAATGTTAACTGATTCACTCCCTGTGTAAAGAGAGGCTCTTGCCTAGCAGATGGAGGCCCTGGGTCTGATCCCCAGCACGGGGCAGGATGGAGTGGGTGGAGCTTCAGTCCTCTGCTGATGAGCTACCTCTTCACCAAAAGCAGTCTCAACACCGAGCATCACAACCTTCAGCCTGTGCAAAGCTGGTAAATAAATGTAAGACAAATAGGGCAGGGATTCGCCTGAGGACACCGTGGACTGGGACCTCTCATAACCTTGCTTCCTAAGACAGCCCCAGTCGCAGGAGGCTGCAGCCTCGCCTGTCTTGTGGCAGACATACTCATGTGCTTCTGCGAAGGTAGGTGCAAAGGGGCAGCACTCCCACACTCGCTCAATCGTTACTGAACATAATGTAATCTTAGCACCATGCAGCCCTACTGAAAACCCTCCCTGTAGTTTTTCAACAATACCAGTATAAATGAAATATTTGATATGCTTTACCTAAATCCTTTCTAACAGTTATTATCCTTAAGAAGCAATGCCCATTTCCAAAGCAATTAGCTTACTGTGGTTGACTGGTTTTGTTCTTCTGTCGTCACCTTGCACTCTTCACTGAGGAAAAGAAAATGATAGTCCCTTGAGATACTTGTACACTCTCCCTCTCATCTTGGTGTCCCTGTAGTCTCCTAAGGCTTTGACTAAACAAGTGCAGCCTTAATTTTTGTTGAAATCTTTTCAAAGTATTCAGTGATTCTTCCAACAAGCTTATCTGCTCTGCACTATTTCACTAATAAACCCTAGCTATCACATAGCCCTTGACCTCCAAGTAGTTTACCTATGCAAGACCCATGACAGTCTGAATTCACTTTGCTTTATTTCCGAAAGCAGTCATACTTAGAACTTAATCACAGAAAACTTAACTTGTTTTCCACTAGTTTTATTTCCACTAGTTTCATTTCCTTCTCAGTATGTCAGGTATATTACCCCAAGATTTTTCACCAAAACCATGATCATAAGTGCTAGAATATATAATAATTTCCAAGAATAAAATAACCCAAACATACTCATATATCTTTGGATTTTGGTTGGTAAAAATTACCGGCACTCAATGTAAATACATACTAAGGAGTTGATTCCTTGCCTAGAGTCATTTCTTCCCTCTCAGATTCATAAGTATCCTTTTACTTTTACAAAGCATACATGCAACTTCCACATTGTAGTCAGGGACCTAAGGTGTAACTTGCTAAGTGAACCCCAAGGTTATTTTATCTTGCAAAAGAAACCTAAACCAAACGAAGGGCTTTGCAGTTACAGTTAGACTACATCAAAAGCTATAACCTCAGCTTTTCCAAAAACAGCTTCTGACTGCAAAAGCAAGTCATGCAGTTGTTACGTATGAGATAGCACTGATCAGGAAATGCGTGTGCATCTTTGCACGCTGCATTTCCCTCAAAAAAGACTTTTCTACTTTTAATATAAATTAAGCCATAGCAGTTGCATGCTGTGGAAAGAGGGTGAAAAGGTTCCTGTTAAGAGATTATATGAGTTTTCATATTCCTGTGAAATGTCTAACTTTACCAGTGCTTCGGCAAGATTTCTTTTAGGTGATGTTGGAGGGTAGTGATGAGGACGGTTAGTATTGGTTTTAGGGGATTTAACTGTGAAATGTGAAAATGGGACAGTTGTTGGCTATGGTATTTACTAGCTTTGTAGTAATGTTTTGCTAGTCTGACCTTCCTTACTGGTTTTTATTCCCATGGTCCCAGGTGGCTGTTGCCTTCTCATTGGGGGTGTCTGCCTGGTAGTGCCTTGTCTATGTGTACGTCACCGGGGTGTGCACGCACGTGTGTTCTTTGAGTACAGAAGCACAGGTGTGGCAGTGGGACAAGGCATGGCTGGGGAGTGGGACACAGAAGCTTTAAGAGCATTTTTTTTCCTAATTCACGACAGTATTTCCCATCTTTTGCCTATAGACAGGGAAAATGGACAGTATTTATTTTGTTTTTGTTTTACTCTCAATTTCTAAGTCTTTAAGTAGCTTGCAATGATTATCATAGGGGAAGACAAGTGAGTTGTTTAAAGTTGAATTTAGTATTCTTTTCAATTTTTGTACTTTAAAATTTTGAAATTAAAATTGTATTACTTCTGCTGATTTCTTTAGCAGTGTTTTTGCTTATTTTGTTTGAAAATATAAAGTTGAAACTTGAAAAAAAAGAATTCAGCTGTTCTTTTTTTTTTCTTTTTTGGTATTGGAGATCAAACTCAGGACCTTGCATTTGCGAGACAAGCCCATTGCCAGTGAGCTAAATCACTGGCCCTAGAATTTAGCTATTCTGACTAACCATTACTTGAAACAAATTCTCATTCTACCAAAAAATATATATATACAGTGCTACGAATGAGGAGAAATACAGAGTTCAAAGGAATCAAATTAAAATACACAGTCTCTTGGGGAGTTAGGAGAAAAGTGGAAAGAAATTTCATATTAATGAACTAGGATTTATTTTAAGGTAAGACTACAATTTCTTTGGCAGACTAGAAAATAATTCTGCCTTCAACTGAATTTACCAAAAATAAGCTATCATTTTGAGTAATGTTTTGTTGTTTTTATTTATTTTTGTTTCTAAACCCAGAGACTTACGGTTCCTGCTTTAATTCCTTATAAGGGAGTCAATGCTACATTTTAAAATTAACAGATGGAAATACATACTCTTTCTAGAAGAGGATGTCTTTGCCAAAAGCGCTGCAACAGGGCTGAGGATTTAGCTCACTGGTTCTGCTGCCTACCTTGCAAGCACAAGGGCCCAAGTTCAATCCCTGGTTGCAGGAAACCAAAATTCTTTATTCCTACTTTTTAGGTTTTCTTAAATGTTTACTATATGTTTGCAATAT